CGAATATATATATTTTTAATTTAAGACTATAAAATTAAATTTTGCACCATATTTCTTAAACTTTGTAGTCGTTATAATAACACACTGAATTAGGAGTAACAAAGATAGGGATATGTATCGATGTATTGCTAATATCATGATTTACTATGTACTACATTCTATAATATTGAAATTAGGGTAGGGATATGTATTGATCGGTTCGGTGCAGTTTTGAAGTTTATTGATTCAACTTATTGATTATCGGTTTGTAGACATGCTAAACTGTTAAGATATTGGTTTATCGGTCATTGATTTTGTTGGTTCCCTATCGTTATCGGTTTAGTATTGATTTGACACACAAAAAAATCATTGAAAATCACTTTGAAACAAGATGACAAACCAAATGAACTATGTACATGAGTTGACAGATTGCATCTTGCTTAGAAGCAAACACTATTACATTGTAGATTAATCGAGAGTTTGAGACACCCTGGAATAAAAGTATGAAACTAAACTCTAAGTCAAGGACTTTATATATCAAATGATATAAATATAATTATTTAATTTACTATTGGATTATCAGTTAACCCGTTAAGAAATAACCTCAAGCCGTTAAGAATGATAACCGGATAATAAACCATTACCGAAATCGCTAAATCAATAACCCATTGTCAATAAAGTAATATTTTTTTTGGTTCGAATTATCGATTTCGTTGGTTTTGAACAACGCTAGAATCGGATGTATAACTAATACATGAACATAAAATTCTATCAAACAAAAGATTAGGTAATAACATGGCTAATACATATATTAGATTTTCTAATACATTCTATCAAACGGTCTGAGTTTTGTATATTAGTAAAATGGGATGTCATGTTGTGCCATTTTTTCTTGTTTATCTTGTCTTTGGGCTCAAAATCATAAGAAACAAGGTCCGTTTCTAAAATTTGAGTTGGGCCTTTATATGATCATGTGTTGTTCACTAACACAGATCACAAGGTTTGGCCCATAAGTAAGGATTGATGTTCTGTTGGGCCCAATACCACTTCCTTTAGTCATTTCATAGGTTATTTCCTCTTAAAAGCACATTTGAATATTTGATATTGAATAATATTTGAAATAAAATTTGGAAACTATTTCAAATAATTATTTATTGATTATGTTGATCTATTATTTTAACTTTAAACTTAGATAAGTTTATGCCCAAACATGAATTCAATTTGTAAATACCCTCTTCAACTAACTTCAAATGCAAACTCTCTCAAATTTCAATCAAATCATATCTACTAATCTCCTAGGGAAATTTGATTTTTTCAAATAGATCATATTTGCGAGTCAACAAGATAATTGTCCAAGATAAATTAGAAGTATCATTGTACTTTTTATTTATTGAAAATTGTCTAAAAATAAAATAAAATGAATTGTAAATTAATTAGCATCTTTGTTAGAATTTAAATCTGAACACTTTTATCTTATAAACCTTCTCCTATCTTTGATTCGAATATTATGAGGTAAAAACTAGTCTCACTTACGGTTGGGAGCCCAAGCCCTTGCGATTTCATCTACTACATACTAAGACTACACTATCGATTATCTTGTTATATTTATTTTTTTACTTTAATCTTTTATGTGCAATCTATCAAAACTTCAAACAGAACATCACACTAGGTGATTCTTACCAATTTTTCGTAGCGACAAAGTTACTTGGTACAAATTACTGATAGTTGGATAGGAGGTGACAAGTATTCCGTAAAATTATTCGAGACAGAAAAAAAAAAAAAAAACCTTCTACCAAATAATTAGTTAAATTAAAAGAAATTAAAGCTGACAGATGTAGACGTAAATTATGGTTGAGTAGGGTTTATTAACAAATCCACTGCACTGAGCTTTACCATCTGAACTTCTTTAACAATGGCCGCCATTTTCTCTCACTTAACTTCCCTCCAATCACCCGATGCCGCGTCATTCTCCTCTCTCTCTAGCTCAGGCATTCAGTCGTCGCGCTTTTCAGGCGTATTTGCACCTTCGCCGATCACATTTCCAGCCACTCGTCAACGTGTCTCATGCCAGGCCACCTCTCCGGCAACATCTCCTCCTTCGTCCGTTAATGGTAATGATTCACTACTTTTTCTCGATATTTCCTTTTCTATTCGATTAATTTTGATTTGGCATTTGGATCGTGCAAGTGTTTAAGTCTATAATGTGTTGTAAACCTAGAAAATTTGTTAAGTCAGCTTGATTTACTATTTAGTCTTGTGAATGTTGTATTTATTTAGCTTATCACTGCTCTTTTGGTCTATCAAGTCTGTTATACCATGCACCTTTTGATGTTTCGGTTTATTTTTCTTTGGATCAACCTTGGTTTCACACGTATCTTCGATGTGATTCGAATTTCCGACTTATTAGTTAGAGATGTGGAGCTGTTCAAAGGCCAATGACCATGCATGTGCTGTTTATAGTGGTGGCCATATTTGAGCCTTTAACTTTCCAGGAGTTGTATGCATGCTTCATGAATCATGATCATTTTTATTGCCTGCTGAGTTACTAGTATATTCTCAAGAGCATTCATGTAAAAATTTGTTGAGGTCACAAAGCACAAAGTTAGAGAATCAAAAACTGTTTTTTGGTGTTAATTGTGAAGACCTTGTTGTATGGATAGTTGAGAACACTTTACAAGTGTTTGAAGTTGAAATAAGAATCCTTAGTGTATGTATACATTTTCACATCATCTAATTTTAATGAAATTCTCCTGGTATATCAAAAACAAGTTAGAGAATGATAATACTTTTTGATTGTTGCCAATAAATTCCTGAAAGCTCGTGGCACACGGTTAGAAACCAAGGTGTGTTCCTAGCCCAGAGATCACAAGCCTCTATCTTAAACAGTTTCCGAACCCATGAGAACAATAATACTGTGTCCTCTAGCTTTTCAGACGATGGATCAACCCATGTTTTATTCAAAAATGGCTTAGGAAGATTTTTCTGATGTGTCTTATTTTTAATTCCAGTAAATGCTAGTCAGAAGGATTTTTTGCACATCAGTGATTTTGACAAATCAACTCTTTTGAACATCTTGGATCGAGCCAAAGAGGTCAAAGCACTTATAAAATCAGGGGAGAGGACATATCTCCCATTTAAAGGTAAAACTATGGCGATGATCTTTGCTAAGCCATCCATGAGGACACGGGTTTCCTTTGAGACAGGGTTTTACTTGCTTGGTGGGCATGCTATATACCTGGGACCAGATGACATACAGATGGGTAAGCGAGAAGAAACTCGTGATATTGCTCGTGTTCTGTCTCGCTATAATGATATCATTATGGCTCGAGTTTTTGCTCATCAGGTACGCTGGTGAGTTTTTCTGTTTTGACTTCTTCCTGGTACATGGTGAGTTTCCTATTTTGGTTTCTTCCTGGTATACTACAGTGAAGCACTGCTAACACTCTTGTTTGTGCTAGTTGTCCAGTCGATGCTTCTGTTTCCTCTGTTAAAATCCTCTCTTCATAGCATTGTCCCTTCTAAGTATTTGGTTGCCCCTTCTAGTTAGCTGGAACAAGAGTTTTTTTATCCTTTCTGTTGGAGCTGAATAGTGGATCCATCTTTTATCTAATATCTTACCAGTAAATAACAGTTGAATGATGTCGCCTTTCTCAACAAGCTAATTGTGCTATGGTTATTCACTCGTAAATATTCTTCAGGGTTTTGTACAAGTTGAGATATTGAACTGAGTAATTGATAGGGGAGGATTGGACATTTCTAAGTCCATTCTTTCATACCAACTGCAAAATAAAATTTTTATCTATCGTGTTTTGTTGCTGCTGCAGGACATTCTAGATCTTGCTAAATATGCAACTGTACCAGTGATTAATGGCCTTACAGACTACAACCATCCTTGCCAAATTATGGCCGATGCCCTCACAATAATTGAACATGTTGGTCAGCTGGAAGGAACTAAGGTTTAGCTCTTTCAGGCAACATTTGGTGATATTCCAATTTCTGTTCTGGTGACATGTGATCTTTGTAATTCAATGTTGACTGCAAATTTCAGGTTGTCTATATTGGAGATGGAAATAACATAGTGCATTCTTGGTTGCTACTGGCTTCAGTAATTCCTTTCCACTTTATATGTGCTTGTCCAAAAGGTTTTGAACCTGATGAGGAAACAGTTAAGAAAGCACAAGGTGCTGGAGTAAGCAAAATTGAGATAACTAATGATCCAAAGGAAGCTGTTAGAGGAGCTGATGTTGTATACTCGGATGTCTGGGCGAGTATGGGACAAAAAGAAGAAGCTGCACAGCGTCGTCAGGTGTTTCAAGGATTCCAGGTAGGAGTGTAACAAATTTCTAAGCTGTCTAGTCTGTTCGACTTGTGCGTGTAGTACAAGACACCTATTCATATATACATAAAATTGCTTGCCACGAATGCAGGCAAAACCAGTAGTATAGGGGGCTAGGCCCAGAAATGCCCCTCGCTATTGATGCTTTTATGAATACCCATCTAATATTGATGAACAAGTTGGAACAATCTAATAGTTAATGATAACATCAACTGTGCGTGAACTCCAGGCTAGCTAGTCTTTCCCTAACATCTTATCATTTGTCAATAGGTTGACGAAGAACTCATGAAAATAGCTGGACAGAAGGCTTATTTTATGCACTGTTTGCCTGCAGAAAGGGGAGTGGAAGTCACTAATGGCGTGGTTGAAGCGCCAAACTCAATTGTATTTCCCCAAGCTGAAAACCGGATGCATGCACAAAATGCAGTCATGCTTCATGTAATGGGCTTGTAATTGCAGCGTCTGTTCTAATACTGAGATTCTTCCTCGACAGTATTTTGTTTGGTGCATTATGTCTGTTCATATAACTCAAGGTTCTAAGTCAAGCAATCTCTTTATCCTCATAATGGCCGTCGTCTTCGAGCTGGCAAATAAATGTCCCCAACTCTTTAAAGGGTATGGATTTCTAAGGGATTAGTTACAATCGCCACTTGATCATAACAATTCAAAAGGCTCTAGAATGATATTTTTAAAATTTAAAAGGCCCATCATTTAAACCCTTCATACCAAAGTTTTAGATGTCAAGCCAAGTACACATCATCCTTGCATTTCAACATTTTGTAAATAACTTTACCCTGAGTTTCCAAACTGATGAGCTACTGTTCATGTCTAAGACTAGATTGCCAATAGTTAAATGTATCTACAAAACAAATTTCATTTTCCATCTTGAAAAGCTGATGGCCAACATTAGGACATTGCATCACCTCTCTTCTGAGTTGAACCTGTTCCATGCGGCCTTTGGTTCACAAAAAGGAAAATAATGAGATTCAAGTACATAAAATAGAAAAGAAAAAAAACAAGCAACAGCACAAATCAGAACATGCCGTTAGAGAAACATTACCTTGAGAAGATCAAAAACCTTTTCACAAATATATTTTTGCTGAATGCTCGCTCCTCTTTGCTGCAACTTATCAGGGTGAACATACAGAGTTGCTTTACGGTAAGCTTTCTTCACAGCAGCAGTAGTAATAATTTCAGTCAGCGAGATAGGTTGCCAACCACTGTTGGTTCCAAGGATCTACATTCACAAAAACAATGCACAATTAGAGACAACAGATGTTATATATTTGAACAGGGCAAAAAATTAAATCAAGGTCAGTGCAATGAACTTCAAAAATAAAATGCCTAGGAACTTGGAAGGGATTCATTCACTTGTTCTCGAACTCTGATTACTGCAATTATATTTCTGAGGAAAAAGGTCACCCCAACTTTTAGTTTCTTGAAGATCAATCAATATATATTTTCCTAATGAAAGAGAGGTAGCATCTTGAGATTCTTCGTTCCCTTCAGCTTATATTCATAACAGACAAGGGACAAAATACTTGGGCAAGCACTAATCAGATGGATACATACATATTGCAGAGTCGAAAGCAGTGCCCGTAGGTTCCCTTCCTTCCCGCTGGCCCATCTTTTAATATCAGAATCAAGAGCTTCTGCTAGTCTCTGAAATTTAAACACGCGTATAAGCAAAGCACAACTAACATGTTATCATTAACACCATAAGCACACTAATCATATCAAGAGAATTTACAGTTCTCTCCATTTGCTCTTTCTGAGCCAGAAGATCGCGCTGATTCTTCTCCTCAAGGGCTTTTGCCTGAAAAGATCAGTAGAAGATAAAAATGAACATGCTTGGACAACGTTCAGGAACTAGTATCCTACAAATAGAGTTTAGATACACATACTGCTCGTTCCATTATCCTCTGGTGCCTCTCCAACCTTGCTTTGCGCCTCTGAGCTGATTCACTATTACTTCCATCAAATTTCTCCAAATCCTGCATTTAATGAGTAGATCATTCCTCTATATGTCACAATATATCCACTAAGAGAAAAGCAGGAAATAAAGTGAATGATACTCACAGAAGAAGAAAGGCTTTGCTTCAATTTATTCTCTCTGGTTCTACTAGCAGATCTTTCAACATCGTCTCTATCTACTTGAGACCTTAATTCAGCTATGTTTTTTTGTGATAAAGCTTTCTCTAAAGCACGTTCACGGGCTTCCGCAGTTGCCCTCTCCACAGCAGCTCGTTCTGCTTTACGCTTGGCTTCAATGGAAGATTTGTCTGTTGATACCTTGATACTTGCAGAAGCTTTCTCACGCTTTTCTCGTGCCTCAGCCATTACTCTTTGCCGAACTTCAGCAGTTACTCTCTCCACAGCAGCTCGTTCTGCCCTTTCACAGACGTCAGCAAAAGCTCTCTCACGAGCCTCACGAATTGCTCTTTCCACCACTTTTCTATCTTTTTCCCTTTCCCTTTGCTGTCTCATGTCTACCTCAGTTTTTCTACCATTATTTTTGTCCACTTCTTTTGTTAACGACTCTTTGGTATCCTCTTCTACAACAATTTTTTCGCTAAGATTTTTCTCTTCCTCATTCAGTTCTGATTTTAACTCTTCATCATTGCCCAGTGGTTCACGATCACCCGGTAAAGAAGACCACTCCAAGCCTTCTGAGTTCTCAACAGACTTCTTTACTTGCTGAGCTGCTTCAATATCATTGTTTTTCTCAACCTGGTCAACACTACCATCCACCTTGATTGTTTCCTCATTCTCTACATGTTCAGGGACCCAAGAGTCATCCCCTTCATCAGGATCTGAGGATTCTTCTGGTTCCTTACCAGTCTCATCGCGTTTCTGTTCAAGGTTTCTGTCAATAAATGTGGTATTCCTTTGTTCTTCGGAAGGGTGGACCTCAGGTACAAAATGTGATTCATTATCACTGACATTCTCTGGAATGACATTGCAGAAGCTCTCTTTCTCAAACAACACTCTTTCACTTGGAAGATTATCCGCAGTGTTCATGCAAGTGGAACTCCGACTCACTTCCTTGGCATCCTCAGATGAGGAGTCATAAGTATCTTGCACCATGCCCTCAGAGGTATCCCCTTCACTAGCATTTTGGAGATCACTAGCAGTTTCCATTATCTCCCTCTCCCTAGAATTGGATGACTCTTCAATTGCTCCATACTTCTCACACTCAGCATGCTCATTGATAGCTTCAGAAACTCCTTGTATCCCTTCAAAATCAACTGCCTGCTGACTAATTCCAAGGTCACCATTTTCTAGTTGATATTCACAAGCTTCTTGTATCTCACTTGAACAAGTACTGCCATCGTGATCACGCTCATAAATAGTTTTCATTGAATTTTGTTTATCAGCAACACTTGGAGCCACACTTGTCTCCTGATCACCCTCACTCTTATCAGATGCTTCCACCAGCTTACTATCAATTTCATCAACCTTCTGACTTGCTTCAGTGTTTCTATTCTGTGTGAATTTATCAGCTCGGTTCTCTATTTCTTCAGTTGCTTCGTACTGACAAGGCTCTATGGATATATTCTGAGGTACCTCCCTCTCAGATCCTTCAAGATTTCTCTCACTCTCTTCCCCTTCACAAGAGTAAGTCGTTTTGCTTTCACTCGGCTCACACTCATGAACCCCATATGATATTCCAGTGTCCTGTCCCCCTTGGAAATCTTCATGTTTATTGTCAATGCCTTCTTTCTTGAAGCCATGTTGGGGCTTCTCATCATTTTCCACCCATAGGGCGGCTTCCTTATCCACAATGCCAGTTTCTTCTTCATCGGAGCTCCTTCTCAATCTACTTTTGTTTTCTTCCATCTCAACTTTTTCCAGCTGCTTCGATGCTATTCTGCATTCCAAGTCTTCATGGTTCAGTGTCTCATTTTCTAGAGGTGTTTTTTGGTTGTTATGTAAGTTATCATTCTCCATTTCTTGGAACTCAATTTTCTCCTCAGTAAGCGGTGCCGGAGAATTCTGCAAGTTCTTGAAACTCCATTGTTCAACAAATGTAGACTCCAGATTGTTCTTCATATTTTCAGACTTCTTCGACTCAGCAAAACAATTTGCCTTCTCCTTAGCAAAGCAATAGTCTTTGGTCATTTCAGAATTTACATATTCCTCAGAATCATGCATCAGAGCTGAATTGGAAGTATCCTTGTATTCCTCAGGAGCTTCTGACTTCCCAAGGATGTTTGGTGTTGGCTTTATGTCCCCCATTGATTTGGTATAATCAGGTGCTTCGTCAAGCTCTTTGGTCTTGTTACTTGGATTCATCTCCTTTGGCTTGTATACATGACTGTTATTCTCCATAGATGGTTGGGAATGATTGCTGCTGTCAACCTGTTGAGATGCCAAGGTTTGAGTATTCTCTTTTCTACTGCTTACCACCTCCGGAGACCAAGTTCCTGCTACATCTCTGTGAGATACTTCAACATTTCCAGTAACTCTTTGCTGTTCTTTAAGATTGAAGCATGAAGCCAAAACAGCATTGCTTGATGGAATTTCCCGACAAACCTCAGTAAATGGAGGCAATCCAATACCTATTTTTCCCTGCAATTCTATAGTATTTCCCCTGTTACTTCTTGTATTGCACTCAACCCTATTATCCTTGGATTTTAAGCTACCTTTAGACCTTCGTTTCAGAGAAGCTGGAACACCTTCGCTTTTTCTCTCCATTAGCTCTTTGGCTAGCCTAATACTCTCTTGAGCTTTCTCTATGGCTTTTTTCAAAGTGGCAGCAGAAATAGCAGCTGCCGAATTTGCATCAAGTTCCTCATCAGAGGAAGGTGGTGAAGTATCATTGACACGACTACCCCTTCCAGATTCACCAAATTTGGAATCAGGACCAGTAATTTTTGATTGATAAGGTTGGCCCTTGATGTCATTGGCCACGGGGTTGGAAGCCGATGCCCCTTCAGTGGAACTTGATCTCTTGTCAAATTCATCACGTGCACTAAAAAACTTATCATTGAACACATCCCAGCTAGATCCACTTTTAACCTTCACTACACCAATTGGACTCAGTTTCTTAGGGACATGCAAATTCTCCTTCCTATCATGTCCATTAAATAATTCCCCACTAAAGCTCGTGTCATGATGAACATCTGAACTTAGTTTCTTGGGGATATGCAAGTCCCCACTCCTATCAGGTCCTTCTCTAACTATTTCTCCACTAAAGTGCCTGTTGTGATGTCCATCTGAACTTTGATTCCTTGGGACATGCAAATCCTCATTCTTAGCATGCCCTTCTTTAAATATTTCCCCACTAAAGCTCCTGTTGCGATGTACATCTGAAGTTTGTAACTTTGGGACATGCAAATCCCTGTTCCTAGCATGCCCTTCTTTAAATATTTCCCCACTAAAGCTCCTGTTGCGATGTACATCTGAAGTTTGTAACTTTGGGACATGCAAATCCCTGTTCCTAGCATGCCCTTCTTTAAATATTTCCCCACTAAAGCTCCTGTTGCGATGTACATCTGAAGTTTGTAACTTTGGGACATGCAAATCCCTGTTCCTAGCATGCCCTTCTTTAAATATTTCCCCACTAAAGCTCCTGTTGCGATGTACATCTGAAGTTTGTAACTTTGGGACATGCAAATCCCTGTTCCTAGCATGCCCTTCTTTAAATATTTCCCCACTAAAGCTCCTGTTGCGATGTACTCCATCTGAACTCTGTATCTTTGGGACATGCAAATCCCCCTTCCTATCACGTCCTTTAAAGATTTCCCCACTAAAACTCCTTTGGCGAAGTACATCACTTTTTACAAAGGGTGCTTGTTGACAGGATTCAGTCTTTGGAACATGAGAACTTTCATCTATAAAATGCGTAAAACCAGGGACAGCATGCAATTCAGCAATCTGTGTCATGCCATTTAACCCATCTCTGCTTCGTTGGCTGGTCTTATGATAAGATAGGTTAAAATGTTTTGGCCCATCCAAAGATTGATTAGCTGCATCACATGAGGACTCTTTTTGCCTTCCACTTGGACTACATTGATCGGATCCTTCCGAAGCAGTCCTAAATGCAACAAAAACACGAAATTAAGGGAACCATCATAACTTATGTTGAACCAAAAGCAACAATACACATGGTGTCGTCAAAGACAAACTGGGAAAATCTGGGAAATGCCGCAGAAAATAAAAGCAATCAAGGGAATTGCAAATTAATACGGAAGGTTGTCGTTTTCTACCCGTGAGAAAACAGACCAACCAAGGTCAATGCACACAGTAAATGTCCACCAATACACATGGTGTCGTCAAAGACAAACTGGGAAAATCTGGGAAATGACGCAGAAAATAAAAGCAATCAAGGGAATTGCAAATTAATACGGAAGGTTGTCATTTTCCACACGTGAGAAAACAGACCAACCAAGGTCAATGCACACAGTAAATGTCCATTAAATTCCAAACCACATAGCATGTCTAAGTACTTATACTTTAAAAAGACTAGAGACGTGTAATTAAACATCAGATCACGACAAACTTGGATTAAAACCTTCCGTTACAAAGGATAAGAGCAGGATTAACATTCTGTAAACCAACACAACTTAACCAATTAGAAAAGCAAAAGGACATCAGATTACTAGATAAGCTACAGAAGACGACACGTTTCAGAATGAGCAACAAACGAGAATTTATGGGAGATTCTTTTTTTACTAAAAAGGTTTACATATGAATATTCCATACCAGAAATATTTGAATGCTTCAACCAACGATACATGTTCGTCTATAAAAAGTCTAATTTACAGGTTCCCTAGCAGAACCAAAATCATATAAATCTCACCTAAGGTAGAGAAACAGAAAAAGGACTTGTTAAGCACACTAAGAATATACAAACTGAAGCAAACCCCAAAATTAAGAACAGAGATAAAATGACACCATATGAACTTCATATCATTGTGCTTTTTCCTATTTCTTTTCTATTGTTTTCTTTTCTGTATATCAACCAAAGCTACAACTATATAGAATTAGAGACTGTTCGTATGGAGAGGCAATCAGAAGCACTGCACGAAGAATAGGAAAAAAACAGATAAATGCTGAGAAACAAACAGATGATCAGCTAAACAGATAGAGAAAAACAAGCAAGTTAACACATAACAAAATTTAAAACCAGTCGATAAATGAAAAGTAAAAAGCGAGTAGCAATCATGAAAATGAACAGCGAGAAAACACACAAAACGAAACTCGTAACCGATTCAAACTACTACTGGACACATCAAGCTTAGCTCCATCACTAACAGAAATCTCCATTTTCTCTTCAAATAAAAAGCAAAAATTAAAAAAAAAATTATGAAAATGAACTCACCTAGATTTAGCAGAAGAACGCTTCCCTCGTTTACCTTTAGAAAACAACTCTTCATTACGCACAGCCATATCTTCCCGAGAAAAACCACCAAAAATGTTGGAATAATCCAGTTTATCGGAGCTCCGTCCATCATCGGAAACCGCAGCATCATCGATACCAGAAAGATCAAGCACCGGAATCGAAGAATCACGAGAACCTCCAAAAATCTCAGAGTAATCCGGAGCTCCGGAAGGTAAAACCGGAGCTCCGAACTTCGATTGTGCACCTGTTAAAACGCCGTCGTACGGATGCTGTTTAGCAGAAAATGATAAGCCATTGGCGTTAGAAAGCTTCCTTCTGTGTAAAGGCTCCATTGAAGTACACAGAGAGAAGAAATGAACTAGGGTTGGTTATTTCAGGAGGAAATTTTATGTATATATTTTTTTTTCTTCGGTGATATTTGTCTGAAGAATCAAAGAGAAGAAGAAATAAAAATAAAATTGTAACAGAATAATTACAAAATGTGTTTTTTGAAGGGTCAATTTGTAATTTTTATTAATTTTAACTCTGTTTGTTGCTGTACGGTATACTTGGTTCCAAGTCTCCAACTTGGATTGATCAACTCGTTCGGTGATTATTTTAGTATATTAATTCTCGTCTCAATTTATATGACATATTTTCGATATTAATTCATTTTTCACCATAAATTTTATGTAGTTTATAAATATATAAAATTCATTTAACTTTTTTGAAAAATTCATGTGCAAATTTTCAATCAAACTTAAATTATTTGACTCTTGAAAAATAAAAAGTATCACATAAATTGAGATAGACGGAGTACTCCATATTTTCATATTCTTTTAGTCATCTATATGCTATTTTGGTAAAATAATATTTATTTCATATAGTGGAATAGTTGAGATCTCTCCATTTTTAATCAGATATTGGATTTGAGCTCGTGTGAATGAAAAAAAATCTTGTTGAGAGTATTATTTTCGGAAATGGCTTTGTAATGTGTGAATTTCAATGTCGAACCTTAATATGAGTATCGTATATTGAGTGGAAATTAAAAAAAATATATGAAATAAACTAGTTGCATCCTTGAAGAAGCCAGCTTTTCATATTCACAAGAGTGAGGACCAAAAACATGTAACGACGTAAATGTTTTAACGTTTTCTTGTACTTTTTTAAAAAAAAAAAAAACAATAATCACTTTCATATTGTTTGGCTATTTTGCAAAAAGTTTTTAAATTATGAACAATTAGTTTGAATTCCATTTTCTATTTTTCAATAATCATCTTGAATTTCTTGTAACAAACCACATATGGATAATTTCGCTTTCAAAAACTCTCAAGCTAAAGTTTATTCCGAAAAATTGTTACAACTTATGATATAACATATTCAGTCTAATCTCATAATGAAAAATTTGGCAAGGTATAATATATGTACATCTTACTTTTATGTGGTATTTATTTTTTATTTTCGATAGACTTTTGACTCGAAAGAAGGACAAAAATTTGAAGTATAATAACAAAAAAAAATATGACAATGAAATGACAAGGTACAAAACAATAATTTTTTAAATGGCAAACAATTTGGAATCAAAATAATACACATGTATTAGTGTTTGTTTTACTTGGATTATTTCCTCTTACAGAAATAAAGTGTTGGAACTTAAATTAACATAACAAAAGCAAGCCTAACCATGTCTATTCTTTTTCCTTAGTTTAATTTTTCAAATAATGTCCCAAATTATAATATGACATTAATAGTCAATCTGACGTACCATTAACAACATAAATGTTTTTTTTTTATTATTATTATTGACTATGACTTAAAGCTTATTTTTAAAAGAAGTGTTGCATTTCACTTTCACAGATATGAATTAATTAGTAGGAATTAAAATGGGGCCTCTCTTCTCCCATGACAGAGAAAATATGATTTAATTGTATTTGTAGCACGTGTAAGCTCGTAAAAAAAATCCTATGGTCGCGTTTCATTTTTTTTCGAAAGTAAATTTAATTGATTTTTAAAATTATATTATTAATTTTTAAAGTTGTTGGGATTAGGTGAAACCAAAATAGTATTATAAATGAGTCGTGAAATGCTCCACCTCCAATATGAGATTTTTCGAGGAGAATTCAAATTTAATCGAATTTAAATGTAAACGCCAGACAGTAAATAGGAAAAAAATGAATAAAAAGGAAAAAGCATAGTCGTTTCCTCATAGAGATTCTCATCACAATTATTCCATATTCAAAGATTTAATCATACAAAGTGTGGCCCCTCCCTCACATGAAATTATGAATTTTAGGACACCATATTTGGGTATAAGCTCCCATTATGGAGACACTAATTGAGAGGATCGAAAATAGTAAAATCATTATTTTAATTTGCTCCTATATTTAATTTTCATTACCTAACGACTATTTTTATTATAGAAAAAAAATCACATCAAAGTACTAAGTAATACTACTAAGTATTTTAGGTTGTGTATAAGGATTTTAGTATTTAGAATGAACTCGTAGTTGTTAAGATGATGAATAAAATAATTTAAGATTAAACTATATGATAATACAAAAAAAAGTTATCATTCTTTCGTGTTTTAGTTGGTATGAATTGAACTTGTAGATAATCGAGAAGAAGATGAAGTCGGAGGGAACAATCTAAAGGACATTTGAGACGTATAATATACGTAATTACGACCTCTAATAGGAAACCCTAATAAGAATATTTGAGATGTAAAATATATGTACTTACGACCTATAAAAGGAAAACCCTAATTATATTATTCTTTTGTATGAAGAATACGATTATTATATGCATGCATGCATGATGTATATATGAATCTCAATTATTTTTTTCTTGACTTCTAGAGAAAGTGAATTGAATCAACAACCGATAATATATAAATGCGTTTATTGTAAATGTTCTATTATGTCTTCACTTATAAAAGATCAAGTCGACATAACTGCGATACAAAAATACAAAGAAAATATGTGTTTCATATGCTAAACCTGGAAAAAATTCCACTTAATGCGAATAAACCGACAAAAGTTGCGCTGACAAATCTTATCTTCACTTATAAAAGATCAAGTCAACATAACTGCGATGCAAAAATACAAAGAGAAAATATGTATTACATATGTTAAACCTGAGAAAAATTCTACTTAAATGCGAATAAATCAACAAAAGTTGCGCTGACGGGTCTTATCCTTCTTTTTTCTTAAAAAAAACAAGCTAACAAAGTTGAACAAGTAAACACATGAATCTTATGTGACATAATATATTAATATATGTAGGACAAGTAGACACATGAATCATATGTGACATAATATACGTAGGACACCACGTAGGACGCAAATTGCCATGTAAGATGTCACGTAGGACACACATGTCTATTTGTTCAATTTTATATACAAGTTTAAGTGTCTACTTGTACATATCCAAAGTTGGAGGGCATAAATATAAAATGAGATCAAGTTAGAGGACATATTTATAAATTATGCCAAATAAATATAAATAGTGGTGGTAATTATGTAAATTTTAATTTTATTAATTGAAGTTCTCATTTGTCAAATACTAAAGTGTAAAAGCAATAAATTTGAACCTTATCTCTAATTAAAAATGTTGAACAAATTAAAACCTTGATGAATGTTCACTCACTTATTTTATGGTCAAAATATATCTTTGAAAAGGTGTATTCATTGGTAGGGTCTATTTAATATTACATATTTACTCATATATTACATGATTCAAAACTTTATTGTTATGAAGTTATGATGAGTATATCTCTTCACTTTATATAATAAACAATAAGGGCCTACAAAGTAATGGCATCATGATCTACCTATCTTTTAATTAAAAAAAAACTACACAATAGTTTTGTTGCATCGATGATCGCATTCTTTTTCAAAGTTTTAAACTTTTAAATCCTTTAATTTAGACTTTTTATTTTATTTTTTAAAGTTTCACACATAAAAAAGTGGCCACTAAAGGTTCAATTCAAAATCTATTGTTTAACACGATTGTAGTGTCTTTTGCTATGGCATTATTGGGATATTAATACATACTTAATCAAAAGGAGAATTATCACATGGACCATTTTGGTCATATTGTTATCATGATGACATTTTTATATACGTCCAAATAAATTAACTTTTACTATTCACTAATGATTTTTTCCACTTATTTACTATTATCTTTTTTCTCATATGCTATTTACGAAATATGAAGCAAAAAAATAAAATAAAAAAATTGTTCCCCTTTTCAAGGTCAATGGTCTTTGCCTAAGGTTGTGTTTGGTACGAAGAGGACTTTTATTTCCTATTTTTTCTTTTGATATAGCAACATAACCGTTGCGTTTAATAAATTTATCATCAAAAGTACCAGCTTCTAATTAACTAGGAATATGTTTTCTCACTAAGCAAAAAATATCTTTAGCGTCATTTAATTAATGTTAATAACTTAATTGTCGCTTAATATGTACTTGTAACGATACTTAATATTTTTTTCTATCGTTTGGTAAAGTGTATAAGAATAATGCAAAAGAGGGTGCATTAGTAATGCTTGCATTGGTAGTGCTTGCATTAGTAATGCTTGTATTAGTTATGCAAGCATTATTTGTTATACACTGTTTGATTTGATGTTTAGAAATAACAAATCTTGCATAATTTTTACTTTAAAATATATGTTTACAAAAATACCCTTCACACTTTATTTATTTTTACACTTCCTTTGAAAAAATTCTTTGCTAAAACATCAAAAAAAGATTTCTTTGCTAAAACATTATTAACTTTTCTTCTCTTCTTTTTTTTCAAAAATAATATTAAATAGTTATACTATTGCGTCAAAATATTTTTGTGAAAAGTTGGCAAAAAAAAAATTTCTCAAATTTATTGCCACAATAGTAAAAAATTTGATTAAACTGTATTGAAATTAAATTTTTTTAAAAATACTTCAGAGGCCATAAAGCCTATTAAAATGGAACTCATCCACCATTAAAAACTTCTCAAACTCAAAAGGAATTTAACTTGTGGTAGCTCGTTTAGCAGCTTACATGTATCTTACCTTTTATAGAGGCTGAAAAACGGAGGAAAATTTGTTTCTTTAACTTGAAACCTTACAAACATAGTAGTTTTTTTTTGTTTTTTTTTATCAATAGTGGGGCAGGACGTTTTATTAAATAAAATGAAATTAAATCCTCCCGAAAAAAAAGCCCTATTAAGACACCAACAAATAAAAAAACACTGAAAAACAAATAAAAATAAAAATATATGACAAAGAAAGAAATGAAAAGATTCTAGAGTTGTGAGAAAATGCTAGGAAATGTTTTAAAAAGGCTTTGAGGGTAGTTTTGTAATTATTTAATCTAATGCAAGTGTTAAAATGCTATGAATTACTAATACCTAGAATTACTTGGTATTAGTAATACACAACTTAATACACAATAGAGTGTATAACTAATGCAAGCATTAGTTATACATGGCATGAAAAA